GCGAGGAGGCGCCGGCGCTGGCTGTCGGGTCCTGCGGGGATAATGGCGGCCCCTGAGTTTTTTCGCGCGGCGAATGGAAATGAGGGTGCCCGCCATCCGCGACGGTGCGTCCTGATCTTCCCCCAGCGCTGCTTTCGCAGGTTTGCCAGCGGACTCGATGTGTGATGGGCACCGGCGTGCCCCAAAAATGAAGTTAAAGCGCAGGCGCACGCGCCACGACGGAGCGGGCCAGCAATGAGGCTCCAAATGCGGCGGAGCCGCCGTCCGTGACCCGGGTCGGACCAGTTTCAGTCGCGCCCAGAAGAGACAGGAAGTCGGTGAACACGGCGGCGGCGCGTCTGCCAGACGTGGCCGGGACGCGCGGCAGGAGCTCAGCGGGGACCTGTTCCATGGTCTGGCACTCAGCTCGGCAGCCGCACGCCAGCGAGCCGCCGCCACACTTCACGCTGCACGGGCGCGTGCCTGGCACCCAAACAAGAGGGCGGCGCAGCCAGACGGCACTCCGAGCTCCACGGAGCCGTCCGCCCATTGAGTGTGTGGGGGCACGCGCCTTCGACTCCACCCGCAGCATGCATCCCTTGTATCTCTCCTCCGGATCGGCATCGGCGTCCAATCCACCCAGCGGCGACGTGTCAAGGTACATACGCGCGTTGGCGGCATCGAGGGGCTCCGCAGCAATGGTGCGTGCCAAAGGCACCCACGCTTGTGCAACTTTCCCGCTATCAGGCGGAGGGCCGAGTGTGTCGGGACGGAGGCGAAAAAGAGCCTCGGCGTGTTGCCCTAACCCGCCGCCGCGCACGCACGACTGCAGATAGCACCGGGTACCCCGCATCGACGCAGCGCCCTCCAGCGAGAGAAGGCGAGCCTCCTTTTCAGCAGCTGCCCGAGAGGCCCTGACGGGAACGCCAGCGATGACGCCGGCGGCGCGGGTGTGGAACTTCTCCAGGCGCTCCAGTGCCGACGGCGAAGCCGTGTTGCGGCGCGCCACTGCCCGTAGAGGAGTTGGGGGGCCCACCAATGAGGGTTTTGGGCGGCGGACGAAGCCTCTCGCATTTCGGCCCCCGCGTTTTCGCAGACGCCGCCTTGATCTTCATAAGTCTTGTTTCCTTGCGGAGGTAAGGGATCCCCGCACCTGCCGGCCAACCCCACGTAATGACTGGATCAAAACCGCCCCAACAACCGCGGGAGGCAATCCTGCGACAAGCGGGCCTCTCCCGCGTGCAGTTCCCTGCTGTCCGTGAGGGCGGTGCCAAAACACCGCGCACTTCGTCTTCGTGGCGCTGGGCTTCATGTTTGCTTCTGCTCTGCCCATCTTGAGACGCTATCCGACGCCTGCCGCAACGTGCACTCCATAGCGCCTCTCCCTCTCTCGGTGGTGCGAGTGATGGCGGTCAGGTCATCAGTGGAGAAAGCAAGTTCAAGGTTGGGGATTCTCGTCAGCTCCTCACCGGGGGCTGTTCGCGGCAACGGTGGGCGGCGGCGGGCCGAGCACGAAC